CCCGGTATTATTCATGATATACGCCGGGGTAATAATAGACCCCACCAACTCCCCCAAAGAAATAAACACCACTTACATCGACGATGACGCACTCGTCCAACTATCAAAGTCCCCTCTCTTCATTATCACAAGACTCAACGAAAGAATGAACGAAAGAGTCAGGAAAGCGGCACCCCTTAACATCAAATACGAACCCCAAAAATCCGACCTAGTCTTCTTCAAACCCACAACATCGAACGCCCCAAACCCCAAAAACTCGGTAACAATTGCAGAAGATGAAATCCACCCCAAAGACAGACTCAAATATGTAGGGGTCTGGCTGGACTCCAACCTCTCCTTTCGACCACACATCGAAGAAACTATCGCCAAGGGCTTCAGAGCACTAGGCAGCATCAGAAATATCGCCTACCTCTCCGGATCAACAGTCAAATCCATTCACGACCTCACTATCCAAGGTTTCCTCCCCACTATCTTATAGGGATCGGAGGCCTGGTGGACGGGAGCCGACCACATCCTCCGATCACTATCCCCACTCTATAACGAACCGGCCAGGATAATAACAGGCCTACCCTGCTGGACAAAAACTGAAAGACTACTAAAAGAGGCAGCACTCCCCCCACTTGAACTCCTCCTCAACTATAAATCACGAAAATACGGAACGCGCATCCTCTGCCACCCCGCAGACCACCCACTCAACGAAGAACTCATACAGCTCCTCCTACCAGAATAAAAAATACCAAAGGTACAGGCCTACATCGGATTGCATCACTCATGCTACCCTTCCAAGAACCAGGCAATCGCAGAGAGCGATGGATCCAAAACGACACTCTCACCAAACGAATGCTGGAAGAATGGAACTCCATCCCATGCATCAACTACCACGAACCAGGAACCCTAAAAATCCAACCAAAGCGAGCAAAACTCCTCCGATCCAAAGCAAAACTCATACACCGTATACGATGTCAAGCTACCAGGATAGACAGACACGCAGCATTCACGGAACCCGAACCCTGCCAATGTGGCTCGGAACAATCTTCCAAGCACACCATGATCGACTGCCCACGATGGACGCAACTACAAAGGCCACTTATGGACAAAATCCCAGGACCGCCCACGTGGGAAAACTGGCTATTTACCAACCTCAACGTAGACATGATTCTACAATTCGCAGCAAAAACCAACCTACTCAACTGGTACGAAATGGACGAGGAGAACCCGGAGGAATGATATTTCTTTCTATCTTTTCTTTTCCTTTTCTGTTCCGCCTCATGATTCTTCATGTCGTCTTTCCTTTCCTTTCCTTTTCTCCGCTTTTCCGTTTTCTTCTTCCTTTTGTCCTTTCTTATGTTTTAGGCGGAGGCGTCGGCGTGCGATAAGTCATGTACTTCAAAGCAATATAAAACTATCTATCTATCTTCTGTACTCTCTTTACTATAAACACTTGTTCATACCTGCCATACTATACCAGATTGAACCACTTCAAAATATACGCTGTTACTTCTCTTCTTCACAAAGACCTTCGCACCTCGCTCGACCTCACTTGACTAACTCGACAGCTACTATTGTCGCACCTCGTACCCTGCGGAATATCTGCCATCGTCGCCCCTTGAGAACAAGGTGAATAAACGTTTGCGGGGAAGTGTCAAGCTCTAAGAGCCCAACTCTTCCCCACAAATTGGACGTCCCCCAGCAACCCCCAACTCCAAATCAGACCCGCCTCCTTTGACCTTAGTGACGATTTTTAGGAAGTAACAATAGAAGAAATCACCTCCGCAATTAAATCAATGCCCAACACACTCAGCCAACAGCCCTGACAACATCCCATACCTATTCATACAAGCAACAATCAAGGCAAACACTCTACTCTTCCAAGACTTGTTCTCAGCTATGCTTCGACATGGAGTCCAATCGGACCGATGGAAAGTGGCGTAATGCATACCAATCCCGAAACCAGGAAAACCCGACTATTCCTCGGCCAAAGCATACCGACCCATCTCTCTACTGCAATGCTTCAGCAAAATACTGGAAAAGATAGTGGCAACAAGACTATGTACCGCCGGACCCATCCTGGAAACCCTGAGCAAAGACCAATTTGGAGGCAGACCAACAATCTCGGCGATCGATGCCCTACTCCGCACCCTCACGCCCATCCAACAGAATCTCCTGATCAAACGAACTACAGAACTACCCCAAATAGACCTGCACTTCTCACAAATGATATACAAGGAGCCTTCAACTGTGTCGACCACCTTCTACTCGTCGAGATCATGACCCAACAAAGATTCCCAACATACCTGACGACCTGGTGCAAGGAATTCAACAGCAATCGAACACTTCAATTCCAATTCAACCACGAACTGGAACCACCACGACCATATATCTCGGGACTACCCCAAGGATCCCCCTATCCCCAGTATTATTTATGATATACGCTGGGGTAATAACAGACCCCATCAACTCTCCCAAAGAAATCAACACCACTTACATCGACGACGACGCACTCATCCAATTCGCGAAGTCCTCTCTCTTCATCACCAAAAGACTTAATGAAAGGATGGAGAAAAGAATTAAGAAAGCAGAACCCCTCAACATCAAATACGAACCCCAAAAATCCGACCTAGTCTTCTTCAAACCCACAACATCAAACACCCCGAACCCCAAAAACTCGGTAACAATCGCAAAAGAAGATATCCACCCCAAGGACAGATTCAAATATGTAGGAGTCTGGCTGGACTCAATGCTCTCCTTCCGACCACACCTCGAAGAAACCATTGCCAAAGGCCTCAAAGCCCTAGGCAGAATCAGAAACATCGCCTACCTACCAGGATCAACAGTAAAATCCATTCACCACCTCATCGTCCAAGGCTTTCTCCCCACCATCCTATGGGGACCGGAGGCATGGTGGACAGGAGCCGACCACATCCTCCGATCACTATCCCCTCTCCACAACGAAGCCACCAGAATAATAACAGGCCTACCCGGCTGGACAAAAACCGAAAAGCTACTGAAAGAGGCAGCACTCCCCCCACTCGAACACCTCCTCAATCACAAATCACGGAAGTATGGGACGCGCATCCTCTGCCACCCTGCGGACCACCCACTCAACGAAGGACTCATACAGTTCCTCCCCACCACAACAAAAGATATCAAAGGCACAAGCCTACATCGGATTGCATCACTCATGCTACCCTTCCAGGAACTGGGCAACCGCAGAGAGCGATGGATACAGAACGATACCCTCACCAAACGTATGCTGGAAGAATGGAATTCTATCCCACTCATCAACTACCACGAACCAGGAACCCTAAAGATCCAACCAAAACGAGCAAAACTTCTCCGATCCAAACAAAACTCATACACCGTATACGATGTCAAGTCACTAGGATAGACAGACATGCAGCATTCACGGAACCTGAACCCTGCCAATGTGGCTCGGAACAATCCTCCAAACACACCATGATCCACTGCCCTCGACGGACACAACTACGAAGACCACTTATGGACAAAATCCCAGGGCCGCCCACTTGGGAAAACTGGCTATTTACCAACCTCAACGTAGACCCGATTCTACAATTTGCAGCAAAAACCAACCTACTCGACTGGTAAGAAATGGACGAGGAGGACCCGGAGGAATGATGATTGGTTGCTTTGGTTTACTCTCTCCTTTCCTGTACCCTCTCATGATTTCTTTCGTTGATTTTTTCCTTTTCTTTTCCTTTTCCTTTTCTGTTTTTCCTATGTTTGATGGCGGAGGATCCGGCGTGCGATAACTCCTGTACTTCAAAGCAATATAAAACTATTTATTTATTTATTTGTATCTACTCCACGAATACTACTTTTGTTCTACGCCTTGTTATAGGGTTCAACTAGTTTGTCATACTAGGTAGAGCCACCCCATAGCCCATAGTCTTGAACACCTATTGCCACGTCCTCGCCTCGATTGTAGTCCTTGGTACCATAGTCCCTACGCCCATGGACCCCCATTACAGAAACGAGCAAAATATTGGAAAAAGCTGAGCAAGATGCTTTGGTATTAGAAACAATATCAGGTTAGAATATTTGTAAATATAAGGGTATATGCTTGATGAATTATTAAAAATTATTTGCACTATCATTAGAACAAGTATTCTTTCGCCGGAATACAATACCCAGGAAAATATCCAGCGGGTATTTTATTTCAAATATACATTCAACGTATATGCTTTTATCTATATATTAATTCCCAGGGTTGAGACTTGACTCCAAAAGGTGGCACCGAGGAGTAAACCACAATATATGATACTCATCACCCTTGTAACAAGTATTAAATCACCGCTCAACCAGACAGCAACAGGCATACCCAGCGGCTATCTTCTCATATATATACTTCACGCATATGCTATACTATCCCTATCGAGATTTCTGGGCCTTAGATTCGACTCCAACTCATGTCACTATTATAAACCATCATACCACACAATTTGAGCTGTTATCAAATTGAAACTGCCAAGAATTGCGATACAAGTTGCAAAGAATTGCCAAGAATTGCCGAGATTCATGCATTGTAATTCATGCAATCCGGCGCAACAATTACAATTACATTTGTCAAATCACAAACCAAACCTTGGCATCAATTGATACAGATGTCCACAAACCGCCGCCTATTTCTACATTTGTCTCATCAATATATAGGAGTGTACATATATACAGTGGAGTCCCGATAGTAGCAACCTCGATAATAACATATCCTCCATAGTAGCATATAACTACATGTAGTTGGGCAATCCCAAACGAGTCGGTACGGCCAAAGTAGTTCTCGATACAAGCATATCCCCGAGGCTGCAGCTGAGTGCGGTAGTCAAGTATATAAGTGGTGAGGCCGGACCATTTTTACTAGATCTAGTGATATATAGACCGACCTCCATTACTATGTAGTTAAGATACATCCTGTACTCTTGCGTTTGACGCAGTTAATATCCAGACTCGCAATCCCTGCCCCAGTCTCCAGGAGCACCATCGTCATGACTCACAAGAAGCTCCCAAACGCCTCTAATCTAGATCTGATCTCAACACTACCACTGCAAGGGCAACCGCCGCCACACATCTCCGACCTACCCGTTGAAGCTCCAGCAGCGACTTCAAATATCTCGTCACCGCCCCGAAATGGCTTCCACCGCGTCCACAACATGACAATGGCACCGCGTCTTCCCTCACTACTCCTCCTAGGCACCCTCTGCCTCCTCCTCCTCGCGACTCCAGCATCTGTAAAACGCGTCCGCTGGCCCGCCCCCCTGTGCAGGAGCGTCGCCGAGAAGGAGCGCTTTGGAGACCTGACGCCCGCACAGGCGTGTCTGCCCGATGCCTGTTGCTGCGAGTACTGTGTCCCGGGTCCCCTCGTGTTGCGCATGTAGCAATTGACTGACCGGTGGTGTGAAAAGGCCCGGATTCTGCAGCACTAGACCCTCCTATTTCCGTCCGAAGCGGTGCAAGAAGAATTGCAATGACATAAAGGGCGGGAAAGCCGAGTGGAAGTAAGCTCTTCCCATTCCTCAGTGTGCCCATTGATGGGTAGCAATGCTGACAGAGTGCAGGCGGAGGGTGGAGAAAGTGCGCAACGCAGAAACTGCGCGTGAATGTGAGCAAGAGATACTAAAGAAGGCACCCAAGAACACCCAGCCCTCCACTCCCCCAGAGAAGAAGAAGAAGCCCAAGAACGAGCAGCAGAAACCAGCCACACCCTCACCCGGCGGCGACTCCAAAAAGAAGGCCATCACCGAGTCCTTCGGCCGCATAGTCTTCGCAGGTCCCAGCAACGCCCTCTCAAACATGGACTCGATTAACGCCGGCTCGCACTGGCATTTCCTCACCTGCGAGACCCCCGGCACCTCTTCCAAGACGCGGCAGACCGTGCGTGTCATCTGTACGACTGCCGGCGAGGTCGACAGCAACTGCGATATCATCTACGAAGACGGGGTGGAGGGCACGGTGGTCAAGATCCCGAGGGGCTGCTTTGAGGGCGATTATGCGGTGCTGCATGGGATGGTTGAAGCGGAGGACCAGAGCGTGCCAGAGGGCGTCAAAGGCGGGAAGGTCATGGAGATGACGTTTGATTATAATTTTGGGAGTGTCAAAGAGACGGAAGAGCCGGTGAGTTTTAGGATCGATTTTAGTAATGTGCCGGGGTATAATGATGCGATGGAGGGATTTGGCGGGATCTATTTCACTAGGGTGTAGATTGTTTGTTTCTTGGGTAAATACATATTTTAGTGGAGGTCTACTTGGAGCGCTGTCGTTGGCTTGTCCGGCAATCCATAACCTTGATATCAATAACAAATGCTGTATATAAAATGATTACAAAATAGGGACCTGGAACGAAGAATGGCTACTCATATATGGCCAAAGATCGAGAAACAGTTGGCAGACAGTCTAATTTAACTTTATTATATGGCTTGAGTGAGTCCTTGATTCTCAACGTCTGGATAAGATTACTGTTCCTAGATCTTGATGAGGCATGCAGTTACATCTCCCCATCTATATGTCACCCTAGCTACCGGCCTGGCAAGGATATATGGTCTTTGTGTTATTTGCTTCCGTAGGTCTGCAGGTTGATACACGCCAGGAACTTTCAACCCCGTTAATACTCTCCCCCGAGTGGTTTCTCTGCAAGCAGAATAATCACACTCGGGATCCTATACAGCATTTACCAGACATACCATCCTGGCATTGAGTTTATTCAATGCACACACCGAGCTGTAGATAGCCTGGTTATTTGTTACTCTAGATAAGAGCTCCCGTACATGGATTCAAGAGTGATCCCCTCGATGATATACACATGCCGATACCGTCGCGCCTGGGCTTGATAGCTCATCCCGCATTACCGCTATACGCAGGAAGTTACCAATATCTCGGTCAAGTTGACGTCGCGCAGTAGTGTAAGAGAACGTACTTGCGATACATTTTGGGTGGGAAGACAGTGTAAATAGCCCGTTCTCTCCCTACAGGCTCATTAGTGCTAAGAATGTGGCAATACACCGCCATCCAAGAGGTCAACGCCGAAAAAGACCAGCAGGGAACAGTAATCACCACCGGCGGCGAATCGAGCAACGACTGATTCCCGAGTAGCGTCATCTAAGGTTACATAGACTCTCTCTCTCCCAGGCACCACCCCCCAAATTCCGGCCCCTCCACCACAAGACAGACAGCACACGTGACGACAGCATCAACGGCACGGCACAGCGGTCCAGGTGCATCGATGGCGATATTGTGGGACCGCCCAGGGGTTGGGAACGGGAAGCCAGGTCATGGTTCTTGGGCGTGGACGAATACATATGGTGTCGATTTTGGTCGTGCCTGGGTGGGGGAAAGAGGTGGGGGTTTTACTTGTTAATTACGTTGGCCTAGATGTTGTGGACAGATCGGGCAGTATATAAACCGATTACAAAAACTCAAGCTGAAACACGTGCACAGCCAAAGATGTCGAAACAGTTGTCGATGGGCTACGTGACGTAGTAACGTATCTGTACCTACATATAAGGATAACAGACCTTTAATTCTCCAATGTTTTAATCCTATAGAGTGATCGACCAATCGAGTACATACCACCCCCGGACAGGGCAGATATCAGTGGGTGGTAGACGGCAGGGATACACCAGGTGTCCTTTCCAAAATCCATTTCCATCCCTCCGCATAGTGTCCCTATAGGCCCTCATGGGCTAGGTATAAAATCCTGTCACTCGATGTCGTCTTTCGTCCCTCTACCGTGGTTGCAATTAATTGCGTTCAATTCAAGCTAGCATAGTGCAGGGTTAGGGTTCTGGCTCGTCTTTTACCGAACGCAGGTCTTGTACTAATATTCTACTATTCTACTATTCTACTATTCTACTATCCTACTATTCCTGCCGCATCCGGTGTTTAATTAGTAGATTGCGTGACGTGACCGTGAACTAACAGTAGGTGAACCCTAACCCAGGCAGTTCATCCGACCGTGACACAGCCACAGCCAGCCACCACGTGCGGGTGACAATGCACCACCAAGACAAAACATAAACACTAGAGCCCCGTGAGAAACTCGGGAGTTTTAAACTGAATGTATGACAGACAGTTTTAAACTGGTTAAAAACTGGCTGTCGAAAACCTGGGTGTCATGGTCATAAACTCAACAGCCATTTTGGGAGTGGGCTAGGGTAATTTTAGGGCAAAAATTGGTATTTAGGGTGGGTTAGGGTAATTTGGGTGGTCAAAATTAGAAAATTGAGTCTGAGTTTATGACAGTTTTCAGTTAAAAACAGCAGTTTATGACAGTCCGAGTTTATGACGCAGTTTATAACTCCAGCTCTGAGTTTGTCACGGGGCCCTAATAAACAGAGGAGCATTCAAGGGAATGCATCCCTCAGTGTGTGTGATCCATCCCTCAGCTCGAAAAGACCAAGAATAAAAGGATGTTTCCTTCTATGATAAACATGCGCAGGGACACCCCAGCAAATGACGTCTATGCAGGGAAAGCGAAGGCTGTGGACATCCCCCCCCCCCCCCCCCGCAAGCCAATCACAGACAGTCGCCTCGCACACCGCATCGGGCAAGCAACAAGCCTTTCTCGGGGGACACCACCCGAGTGCCAATCGATAAGCGTGTTTCGACAGCCCACCAATGGCAGGCACCCGCACAGCTGGCATGATCTGCGAGAGGAAAGGAGGGGGATTGAGGAAGAGACAGGACAGAGTGTCAATGGATCAGATACGCAGACACAGACAGTGTTGATCAGGCCTGTTGCTAAACCTGCCCTCGGCAGTCTATTGTTGTTGTTGACAATTCTTCTTGCAATTGAAAGTGTAGATATCCCGTAACAGACAGAACATTGGTTTAAGAAAAAAAGTATATAGGGAGATATATATCCCGAGAACACTTCTGGTGGCCCCCGTTGAAATTCCCAAGCGGGGCCCCCGAAAATGGCCATCCAGCCATCTATCCTGGACTGGAAATCCAGCCACACGACTGGCCTCACTCAGTACGTCTGCAGCTCCTCTCGTTGACACCTCACATCAGAAAAGTCTCGGTCCCATTCACGCGGCCCTGTCAAATGTTTCTTGGCCGGCCCCATACCTACCTAGCCTACACAGCGACGGGGTATTTATAATTGCGGGGCGGACCAGCCATTGTGCAATGGGAGCGCTGGGTCTGATTGTGCTCTGCTGCTGCTGCTCTCTCTCGGTGGGAACTCACCTCACACTCCCTCATTCCCTTCTACCCACATCATATATGGACGCGATGATCACGCCGGCTGTTGTGCTGCTGCTGCGGCTGCTGTACTCTATGTACACTGGTCGATCTGCACGCAGAGTTGAAGACACAGTTTTTCTCGCACTTCTCTGCTAGCTAGCACTTGCGAGATTTCTCGCTCGTATCGAAACGGGCGAGAAGGCACAAGATCAAAACGGAGGTTTGTTGTGCTGTGGGTGGTGGGTATGTAGGGAGGATATCTCGCCATGCGAAGAGAATTTGTTATGGGTGTGAGGCCTGGATAGCCATATATTTCTGGCGGCTGCGGGGGGAAGGAAAAGAATGGGCGAAGGAAAAAAAAGATTCTTTTTTTTCCTATCCCTCCCACAAACAATCATCCCCCATCCACGCGATGACCAACTGCCATTCTCGTGTCTGCCTGCCTGTCTGTACATAAACAGCCAAAATAAAGTAAAATGAAGCAGGTAAAAACAACAAAAATCTCTCCACATGCCCGAGTACCTCTAACTAGGTGCTCCAGACAAAATAAATGTATTGGGCACAAAGCGAGTCTCTCCCTCGCCCGGCCAGCCAGCACAGCTGCAGCACCGCATCATACCAACGGGACAGGGGCTGACTTTAATTCCCGATCGGTTCTACTCGTGCAGGCTCTACTGAAGCCATTCCCCCACACAGCCAATGATACAAGACTGCCCCAGCATGCATATGCGCATGAGCAGCTTGCTAGAGTAGAATAGAGATATCGCGCTATACCAAGCTCTTTTCTCCCCGAGCCCCCATTCCATTTAAAATATAACACAGCCATGGCACCTCACCTCCCCGGCCCTTCTTCCTGCTTCTGATTCTGTTCTTCTTTCTCTCCTCCTGCCCCTGCTCTTTCTCCCTCTCCCCCTTCTCCGCCTCTTCTCCGCCTCCTCTCCGCCCTATACCCACCCCTCCACCACCCCCCCCCCCCCCACACCACCATCCCCCACTCCCTACCCACCTAACCACCCAACATGGCGTCCTCCGCGTCCTCCTCCACCGAACGCATCCGCCCCGTGGCCCCGCAGGAGGGCTCCCCCGCCCAGGCAATCTACACGTCGGGCATCATCGACGAGGGCTCGTGCCTGCTGCGGGACTACAGCCTGCCGACGATCCCGGAGAAGGAGGATGGCGGGGTGGTGTTTCTGCGGTACTCGCTGGGCCGGTGGCACACGGTGCGCATCGAGCGCGGGGACATGAACGACGACGACGACGACGAGGTTGTGGTGGACGAGGACGAGGACACGTTCCGCATCGTGCCCCTAAAAGATCTGTATATCGCCGACACGATGGTCATTAGGAGCGCCAATTTCCCGCCGGGGGAAGCGGACGGGATCAGAGTTGTGTATGTATATGATATATCTCTCACGGCTTTGGATTTTATATAGAGAAAATTGCGAACACACAGAGAGAGAGATAGAGCAAACAGCTGAGACGGGTCAAACAGAAAGTTTACAGAGTGCTCCGTCAAGATTGTCCAGGTAAGATAAGACACAGCTATGTAGCTACATATATATATAGAAACCCACTATATATTTATATTATATTGTGAAAACAAAAAAACCTCAAGCTCACACCAATCTCCCCACCAGGACTTCCTCAAAGCCATCTCCGAGTTCATGCGCATCCCCGACAGCACGCTGATCCCCGCCCCCGGCTCCCAAGACCCGCAGCCCCTCCTCGACTCGCCCAACCTCACCAAATACGAAAGCTACGTCCCTGGCAAAGACTTTGTCACAGGTGTTTCCCTGCGCGCCTCTTTCCGGCCGCGTAAATACCTGACGCTCTTCGCCGCCTTCCCATACCTCGGCCTCGGCACCGCCAATGGCACCGGCAGCTTGAGTCTGCGGCAGTACCGGTATCTGGGGACCGCCTCACCCGATGTGGATGTGGGCGACTCGCGGAAGCGCATTCTGGTGAACCAGGGGTGGTTCTTCATTTTTGACAACAGTAGCTCTCCTGCCTGTGCATGGTGGTGGTAATGATAGTATCAACAGTCACTGACTGACCAATGATCACCAGGCAACATTGCAATGTTCACCTCCGCCGACGAGGACTCTGCGCCGCTGTTCCCGTACCAGCGCCGTCTCGGTGGCTTCCACCTGCTCGTGCACATGATCGCCAACATTCTCACCTCCTACGAAACCTCGCCGCTGCGCGAGTTCCGCAAGAAGGTCGCGCGACAAGTAAGACCCCTCGGCCACTCCCCAATTCCACCTATATTAACCTCCCCCAGGAACTGCATATCCAAAGCCAACTCGCAAAAGACATCCTCACCCCCGAAAAAAGCATCAAATCCACGCACACCACCGCCGAGCTCGAGGCCGAACAACGCATCACCGAGGACCTGATCGAGGCGTTCGAAGAATCGCTCGCCGACATTGCCATCATGAAGGATGTCGTCCAGTCACAGATCCAGATCCTCGAGGACCTGCGTGAGATCTTCCAGAACTCGTTTAAATTCGAAAAGGGCGTTGGCCGGCCTCGGAACCACAGGAACGCCGTCAAGATCCCATATATTATGGATGGCAAGGAGCAGATGCGCAAGGCGGTGGTGACGGTGGATGCGGTGATACGCGAGAGGAAGGAGTTTAAGGAGGAGCTGAGTGTGTGGTTGAAGGATTTGAGGAAGTCGAAGATCTTGGTATGGCCCCTTCCTGTGTGTTGGGTTGATTGGGTGGTGGTTGGTGGTGAGCGAAACTGACGGTGACAGACTTCACATGATAGCCAAACAGTCACAGCAAAAGAGGCATTGAAACAGGGCGAAATGATGCAAAAAGCAATCACACAGCAAGGCCAGACCATCTCCGTCTTTACCCTCATCACCACCATCTTTGTTCCCCTCGGTTTCTTCACCAGCGTAAGTCCCCCCCCCCCCCCCCCTCCGGCCTCCAAACACTACTTCAAAGACCAAAACTAACCCCGTGCAGTACTTCGGCATGAGTCTCTCCGACTGGAAATCCTCCATCACCACTCCCGCCGACTTCTGGGCCATCGCTGGGCCCGTCACATTCCTCATCATGCTGCTCATGTCCTACTTCCTTTACGGCCCCGACGACTGGATCAAAGATGGTCTCGCGAGCAGCTTTCGCTGGACAACCCGTGTCTGGCGTCTCTGGCGACAGCCAAAGGGGCCCAAGGCAAAGACGCCGAGAACGCTGGAGTCTGCGCCGGGCCCGAGTCCGGGGTGGAATAGGCTGTCGTCGAATCGCTTCTCGTCAATGAGTGGGATGGGGCTGGAGAAAGCTGCGGGGCCAGAGGAGTCGTGATTAATTTGGTTATTGAGCGTACGCATATAATTGGGGAGGAGTATTCTTTTTTTTTTGGGGGGGGGCTCTTTTTTTTCCAGCATTTTTTGAGCATTTTTTTTTTCTTCGTTTCGTTTTCTAGAGTTGACCACGCTCGTTCTATAAAATTTTCTTTTGCATGCTTACTTTTTGGGAGAGAGCTGGTTTGTTGACCTTTCTTTTTTTCTTTTTTTTTTCCCCTTCCCTTTATTCTTTTTGTCTTTTCTCATGTATTCGATGTAAACGTCACGACTAATGTTAACGAGTGATAAACGGTGCCCGCGTGCATACAAGTAGTGCTTTCATGACGGAAATGTCATTGACCATTGACAACGCGTATGTAATGAATTATGAAAGATGGGGGGTGGGCTGACTAGGGTGGATAATCCTAACCCAGTCAGGTGTTGAATGCAGGAGCTCCCCCCCCCCCCCCAACCCACCAACACATGAGTTCTCACAGGAAATTGAATTTCATTACTCCATTCGGCCAATAAAAGAGCTACTATGTACTATGTATGAAATCCTTATGCAGCTCACAAATTAACATCTAGCAGTCCTCCAATGGTTTACGAGCGTAGAAGAGGTGCCTTATTAAACTCACTGTTAGCTTTGGTTTGTTCAATAGTCAAAGGTGAGCATTAATGAATAACTTACTGTACGTTGTAGGAATGAATCTTCCTGTTCTTCGAATCCCTCCCCGCACCCTCTACAATCTCCCTCGCCTCGTCCACGCTCATCCCCAGCTCTCTCGTAAACAGCCCTGTGCCAAAGGCATCGAAAGCGGTCTCAGCGTTAAGGAGGAGGTACGCACCCTTCTCCTTCTGCTTCTTGTCGGCTGGCCATGTTCCAAGTGGAAGTTTCATCGTCTCGTAGTGGATGTCCACGAAGCCAGCTTCCTCGAGCATGCCCTTTAGTCTTGTCGTTACGTTGAACTCGCGACCTATTTGTTCATGTCAGCGATGTGTTCTCATCTCTTGCACTGAGTCGATTGGGATGGGTGGTCAGACCATGCTTCTTCGCAGCCTTCTTGACAAGGTCGTAGAACTTCCACAGGTACAGGCCACTGTGGAATGTGCCGTCGTCGCTGTAAAGGTCCATCTCGTACTCTCCAAACTCGATGTAACCACCGGGCTTGACATATCTATGGACACAACCTCGTCAGTCTCTATACGTATACTACTATGCCACCCATGGGAGAGCCTACTGGTAAGCCTGCTTCACCAACGCCGGCCAGTCCTGGATAGCACCAGTCAAATGTCGGATGTGAATGAGGTCGAACGAGTCCTTCGCCCATGTCCAATCACCCTCGGCGTCGTCAATCTGGAACTGCACATTCGGTGGGACCCAGCTGGGCTGGATGGGACTCAGGTCGGTTCCTAAAACCTCCGCGGAGGGGTAGCGTCTGTAGTTAGGAGTAAGAGATATGTTCGGTATACAAAACTGATGTGGGGGGTGGGCGTAGGCGTGGCGGTTAGTTTGCTTACTCTCCCATGTCAATGGCCCAGATACCGGTACCGGTTCCAACGTCCAAGATGCGCTGTGGGTTCTCGCCTATGGGGGCAAGATGGAGTCTGTCATCGAGCATGAGGAGATAGACGTGGTGGATGATGTCCAGTCTGGATATTGTTAGCCATCTTTCGTGGTTATGGTTGATCTGTAGTGAAAGACTAACCTATTTTGTTCTCTCTATAGATGAGGATAATATGGTTAATTTGCAATTCTTGATCATCATACCCATCTAGTCTTTATGTCCAGAGTCATACCTCGTCGTTGGGGAAAGCGTATTGCCTGCGACGCATCAGCCATGATATCCCCATGCATATCAAGAGAAATCGGTACTGCCTTACCCATCCTTATACGCATGATACCTGCGTCCGTTTTCATAACGGTAGCTATAACACCTCAATGTCAGCACCGCTACCCTCAGACCATAACCCTCACGGGAAAGACCTACTCGTAGATCGACGACGACAGCGATGCGGTCGAGTATTCACTAGCATTCACAATCAGCGACCAGTTGCTCCAATATTCGTCCTTTTCGGAGGTGTCGACATACGATCCAGACTGGTACAAAGAGCTTTCAGAGTCATCCGTGGTCTCCTGTTGGTGACATGGCATCTTAGAATCTAGCTCTCTGTTGACATTGCGATATTTCTGTTGCGAGGGTGCGACATACCTCATCAATTTCAATCTGTTGTTCAGCAGCTGCCATGGTGATTGTTTTCTTTTCTGTTATGGATGGAGATTTAGAGATGGGAATTTTTCGGGGATGAGGTGTTCTTGTTGAGACTGGTGGGGTGTGCCTATTTATGATATCGATGGCAGGGGGAACAGAAGTGTGTGCTGGGTGGGAGGGTGACGGGGGTCTATATAATATGAGAATTTCCTTTGTTCACGATGGTCCCTCTCCCGTACGTGTTGTATCATACTGTGTAGCCGGACTACCACCCAACTCTACCTAGCAGCATCATATGTAACATAGTAGTACTTTAGAGAAAATCCTATCACAATACTAGAGTACCCCCCATCCGTGCCCCGTCACAAGGTACCAAATCTCCAGATCGAGTACAGCTGCAGGTCCAACTAGATATACAAACGATGATTCGGACTTTTATCGACTTTTTCTCCTCCTTTTCCTTCCCCTCCCCTTTACTGCTGCTACAGACGATTACTGGCCGGATACCTAGCATTTGCTCGCAGGTACTCTATGTATATTCTACTCTAGCTGTAGAGTATGTACTCGCGACCAGCAACAAGAACCCGAAAATGCACGCCCTAATCTGCAATTTCCATTGGAGTAGAAGTCAAAAATACACCAAAGACTTGCAGCTGCATATTCGGGTTCTTGTTGCTGGTCGCGAGTAGGTAGAGTACCTACACTAGTGTCATGTAGTTGTCCCACCGCCACGACCAGTAGAGTATTGTAGGCCCGTGGCGGGGATATTGGAAGTGCATATCCGTTGACGTCTTTGCTTCATCTTCTCACGCCAATGGAAGCCGCACAAACCGCATGGCGGCTAGTAACAATATTCCGGCGTCTTTGTGCTGGCGCGGCGTCCAGTCAATCATTTCCTCAATGCCTGTCTTCATCGTGATCATGCCCGTGAACCCCGCTGTTTTAGACTGTCAGTGCCACTCCGTGTACTCTGCATGATTATATTAGTTGAGTTGCGGATGTGATACACCGGAATCCGCACATCTCGGGACTAACTTCACAATATCGGCCGGAGGCGGAAAAGGGTGTGTGCCTACATGTAGGTACATGCCTACTTTAGAGTAGTGAGGATCAGCCTAGAGTCGTGGACTGGAGCCTACCCCACGTCAAATACCTTCATGATCCCATAAACATTTAGTACGTACAGGTCCTCCGAAAAGCTTTTTTTTCTTTCTTTTTAGGTGGTTCAACGTGCTAGTAGAATCATATTGGAAGGGGAAAAGGATAATGGCAAGAGTTTCCTTTGTCAGCCTTGCCCCAAGTGGAATAGGGAGCTCGTCTTAGTTTTTACTCTATGGCCCGGCCCGCTCCCTCGCAGGCCTGCGATTGCCACGTTGTGTCCCAGAATCCCCGTTGGTCCTTTCAAGGAAATAGAGTAGCTGCTCTACTATACTCGTATTTTCCTGACGTTTGTAAAAGGAACCGCTATTGCATACCATACAAATACGTGCCAAGTCCAAATTTTAGTATGGTATGCAATAGTGGTCCCTTTTACAAACGTTAGGAAAGTACGAGTACTCGTGTTTTCACAGCGTTTGTGAACACAACCGGCATTACATACACACAAAAAATAGCCAAGGCAACCTTTTTGTATGGCATGCAATAGCGGTGGTGTTCACAAACGCTATGAATAGACAAGTAGTAGAGTACCTACACTACTCGTAGCTTTATAGCGTTTCCGAACACGACCAATATTGCATGACATACAAAAAGGTGGATTTGGCGCTTTTTCGTATGTCATGCAATATTGGTCGTGTTCGGAAACGCTATAAAGCTACGAGTACGTGATATGTACAGTACGATGCCAGCCGTGAGGGTCAGGCGCAGCGTCGCAACGCCCCCCGAACCATCACGGGTACCAGCACAGCAACCACAATTGATCCTTTGGAGAGCTGAATTTTTGTATAGTTGTTAAATAGTAGAGAAATAACAATAATTTGACATTTAATATCTTGTGTACCAACCTGCCGTGAAAAGGTTGTGGAAATCTGGTTGCGCGCGCGGCGTTGCGACGCCGCGCCTGACCCTCACGGCTGGCATCGTACTGTACATATACGAGTTTGACCCAAGTGGAATTTATAGCCATATGTAGTGGGTCAGGCCTCTCAGTACTCCACAGGTGTTCTCTAGAATTTCCTCGCGAGGATTCCCATAGGCCTAAACCCGGAAGACCAAGGTAATTTATGGTATTTGAGTGATGTACAGCCACTCAGCAAAAGTGTTCGTGATATAGTTTTAATGTCGGTGCGCACTGTGGCACACCCGTAATACTGATGTTATTAAAGTTGAGATTCAAAACAACGAGAAATATATAATATAGTTCGTGACTATATATAAAAAGAGGATAGGCCATTGATCTTATTCTTCATTAACTTGGGCGCCATTGGTCACTGGGAAGGTCTTCTCTTGGGGGTTCTTGATGGCCCACCGCGGTTACATATGGAGAAATGTCTCACTCCGAAATCGGAATCACGAACACTTTTGCAGAGTGACTGTATGTATATGCATGTGCCCGTGCCCTGAGTCAACCAACAAGCATTATGCTTGCCTCTGCCTCTCAACCATTGAGTCGTGGGGGTTGAAGAATTGTCTATTGCGCCGTAGATCATTCTTATCACCCAAGATATCCTATCTTGCCCGACCTCGATCCTATGAATGGTCAGGATCGGTAGTTGTGATAAGAGCCATAAAATAATTTAAGGGACCCAAACTGTTAAATAAACGATCTCCAACCGATCCGTATCGGCCCATAGTTTATAGGTATATTGCTTTTGCATAAAATGGGGAGGGGTGTGTATGAACAGGTAGATTTGTGGAGCCAAAACCAAAATACCGAATCCTACGGCCGCAAAGCCTTTTTCAGATGAGTCTCAGCTTGGTGTTTCCCGGTTTCTTAAATGTGATAAAGTTGCCTGCATGTTTCTGAGGATGTCTTCATAGAATAGCTTCCAACCAATTGCAATATTAATTGATTATTGAACGGCCTTCCGAGTATGGTAAGCTCCCAACCAAAATTTGTGAACAGGGGGAGAAAAACTCTCAAAATTATCATGACACTTTGGCGGCACGGACGAAGCTTCTCTCTAACATCGACGATTGCCGATAACTGAACTCCGGAGTACAATTAGATCTTTCGAAACACCTACTACAACGAGCATGCCACAGAAATCGAATTTGGTGGGGGCTTCCTTAAATCTGGTGACGTCTGACTAGCTCGGTGATGAATCTTCTGTTGATGTCTCGTGAGTAAAAACCATGAGAGCGACATCTCGGGGTTTAAAATAGGCCCAGACTAGGGCAAACTCTTCACCGATCATGCATTGAAAGAAGCTTAACAATTCAAATCGCTCTCTTCTTTTCTTGTTTGAAACGCCGTTTTACGTTTCGCAAGTGCTACATGCAAGTGCAGATGTGTCAACCAGCACTGGCTTACATAGTGGCTGCAAACCAGCATATTGCAGTGTACAGTAATCATGTCACCAGCCTTATGAGAAGAAGACTGCGCAGGGAACAGGTGTAGGTACATGTACTTACGTATATACCTATGCTCCCAATACCCGAGAAACGACGGCGGTTGCTACGAAAAACGTATGCAAAATGATCTCTCCAAGCAATATGTATGCATTTTCTCTCTATTTTCCCCAGTGAATGTACCCGGGGGGGGGGGGGGAGGGGGGGCGGGGCACCTTTTCCCCTCAATGTGCGGCACAGTACCTTCATAATATCCCGCTCCACGGGACGTACGTGCTGACTTTTGATTAACTACATATCTATTCTATAAAATCCAATCACGCGGGTGGCGTCTAGGACCTCGATGGCGCGCGTAGATCGATTCGATCCAAAGGTCGCTTACATGTCCGTTGTGGGATTGTTTCACTTTCCTCGCCTAATATTTCCCAAGAGGAGATGACAACGTCGAGTGATCAACTGTGATGGGCGCGGGTGCGCGATTATGATCATCCTCAAAAGCGGCGAGACGGAGCAGACTTTACCTTGCTCTTTCTATGAATTTGGAGATTTAGATATTCCTCGGGATCATGCCTACCATTAAGGGTAGTTCACTTGTTGAGATACTAATATTTGATCCGCAATAAAACGATTTGATCAGTACCGAAGCTTTAAGTCAAGGACTATAAGGGCATACGATATATACAGATTCAACTCGCAACCGACTGAGTGCCCATGCCTGGCTCAACTATTGCGCTAGATCCGGAATAATGATCCTAGAAAAGGGTTATATAAACACTGGGGGCAGAAGGAACTACCGGAGCTACTCTACATGTGGGGATTTGGCTGGCTGAAGGAACGCCTCTTAGGGCTTTGGTTTTTGGGGAGGCGGGGGAGCCACAGATATGTGGGTACTTTTGGCGTACAGTCACACCTCATTATGTCCTTAGCGTATTCTGGGAGCCAAACTCCTACGAGATAGCAAATACCTATACGAGACAGCAAATAGTTTTTGGTGGAGAAGGGCGGTACCTGTCCCGCAAATTCGTACGAGACAGCAAGAGATCTGAGACATCGAATTCCGAGATAGCGAGGTGCGACTGTATGTGGAATGCATGCTTAGGGCGGTTTCTCCTTTTCACCAGTCAGTCAACCAACCGATCACCCCACTAATCAAGGCCGTACCTCCTGCGCAGAATACGATGAGGGCCGCTTATGTTGTACTTAGGCCTCATATGATGTTATCGGACGCACACCAGAGTAGATAATCTGCAGTGTTATTCAAGCTAGAGTATCATCCCACTTATACTGCAGTCCAACGCCTGCGCATTGAATAGAGTACTTTGAAACATGGCTTACCGCATTGATCTTAGCACGGATTATTAGCCATCTTGCTTTAATAGATCGAAAGACTTCGGCTGATAGGATGGCTGGCAATGTGAAGATGGGGAGAAAGACAGAAAAGTAGGTAGTGGCATGATGAACAGGTAAGCCTTTTGAGCGGAAGGGTCTTCCGTGCTACATGCTCTACATCATGTAGTTAAAACTACATGTAAACTTGGCAACCCTAAGTCAGCGCCAGGCCTAGGTGCTGACCGGTCACATGCATTAAGGCAACATGTACATACTAGAAACAGCCCTCCCACCGCGTTAACATGCGTAACTACAGGTATTGTACTCTACAGCGGTCATCATTAATTACCGACTACATAACTAAAACCTTCGGTTAACTTATGTTTCAATGGGTACTGGTTAGAATAAACATTAATAACTACACCTGGGTTTGAGAGGCCACAATATTGGCTAATGATATACGCCCGTTGAGGAGTCGGTTTTCATAAATGTTAAGCCCAGCTACATGCCAGCTCACTCGACTCCACCTCTAGTAGGTCTCAGCAGCAAAATACCCATCTGTAATGAGTACCCAACGGTGGCCTATAGCCACTTCTCAAAGGTGTTCATGACTTACCCATTTGAGGCATAAGATCCCAGAATCTCTGGGCAAAATCACCACGAGACTTAATATCCTACCACCTAAATAATGTTCTACAAGCCAGAACTTTAGAGAGGAGACTGACGTGCAAGTAGAAGACCGGAACCTAACTTTGACAGCTCCATTTGGGTCCAGAGCATGATGATTTTCAGGGTCTTTAGAAAAAGGAGTTGGATATGTTTTTCTACGTGAGTATACATAGGCCTAGGAAGCTACACTATCTGTTCTCTCAGGACAGAAGGGATTCTTAAATCGGTCATGTATTTATTTGGCACCATTTCACTCCCCTGATCTCCTCTTCCCTCTCCCCCTTTCTCTTCTTCTTTTTTTCTTTTTCTTTTTACGATTTAGTATGAACGTATATCCTCCCCGCATAGCTGCTAATTAGAATGCAGGTATTAAAATAAAAGAGCTTTTTGACTTGATCAAAATCGATTTCTCATATTTTCTCCACTTTTCTAAGGTCCGAGATACCAGGTGGTGCACAGGTCCCATTAAATGGGCGAATTACGAACACCTATAATACGAGTGATATCATATGACCTCGCCAAAACCCAATCACTCTATTTCTACTGGTCGGGCTAGATTTATTAGCTAGTTATGTCCTAGATCCCTACCACGAGATAGATTTTCACCCACTTTGCGTAATTGTGTAATACAGAGCAATAGATATTACGTTTGAAGGAATCAGTTACGTCTCTCCGCCGGCGGGGTATACGCACTAACAAGAAACGGGGTATTCATAGAGTGTATATTTCGACCTGTAGGATGCACGCGGCCGGTATGAAGAGTATGTCGTAGGTAAAATGCACAAGATATATATTGTCTATAATAGCAGCACTCCCAAGTAATTTCAGACACAACACTATCGAGTATTGGCCGGCGGTTGTTTGTGCTACAGGAAGGGGGTAATTCGGTAGGTTGAGATTGAGTATCAGAATGCAAAATACTCCATATACGTGATGATGCTTGCGATCGGCCCCATGCCTGTTTGTGTTCGATGCCAGATCTCTTGTGTTGATAGCCGGGTGTCCCAACCTCAAAAATTACATACATGTATCCCTAACCTTGAACTTTCTTGGCATATCTGTCAATTGCAACGAACGACGTCCTTAATTGACATTGAGGTCCCAACATCACAAGTTTTCACTACAGAGAATACAATCTGTCTAATTGATTTGAAGCTTTCTGAAAACAAAGACTTATAACTCAACTCTCTTTTATACCCCAGTCCCTCGGTGTCAAAGAACCTCGGGCGTCAGCACCTAGGACTTGATACACCCCCAGCTCTAGAGCCGGCACAAAACTGTCAAGACGTTATCGGCGGAATAATCACCGGTCAAATCGCGATTTGTTGCGTAATGTATAAGGTGAAAAAAAAAACACCGAGGCTCGTAGTTCTTCTTATCCAATTATTTCTTAGTCCACCAACTAAATCACATGTGTATCGTGGTAGTAATCATAAAAGGGGCACGGTTATTGCTGATCTTTGAGGAGAGAATAAACTATAATATAACTATTCGCTGAGCCTCATTTTTCCTGTACTTGAGACATAGCTAGGCAGCCATGTGCAACGTACCTCAGGGTTTTTCTGGGGTGTACAGCGACCTGGATATCTCTACCTTAATATCCCAGGGTGCTCCCCGAAGCTCAATATTCGGACAATATTGAACATCTTTATAATTTGTGCTCCTGACAGCAAAACTGTCGGGTGTTTAATTAACGTATGACGGTATCGCTAACTACATATTGATCGGCCCAGCCACGTTAATGACAGGGTTCGTAATATATCTCATGGAACAATGTTGTTTGTGCATCTCACGGATTTATAGCGACGAGAATCGATTCACAGCTATTACTGAAGTAGAATTGGCACGGCCCCTTTTGAAAACGATTAAGGTTTTTTTGCTTTACCCATTCGCAGGGAACTGCTCCTGATGGATGGTTCAGCGCCTAGGACAAAAGTCGCTTTTCAGTTAAGAATTAAACGGATCTCACTCCCATTCGCATATTCCCCACTTTAGTGGGTGCGCTTTGTGAAAGTTGTTACTCCAGGGATTAGAACTCCTACCTCAAATTGTGTATCTAAAGGCATTAGAAACTCTTTGATCTGTACTGGTTTTGAATTCCCATCTGTTCCCAACTGATAAACTAGATACAAATGCCGTCAGCTTTGGCTAGCTAAAGACCAGCCATGAAATGTTTGAATAAGGGGTCGATATCAAACGCGCCTGAAAGCGGCCGGGAGGAACAAACTGTGCCTCAATGCAGGTACAATATGTACTCCTCGGGCACAGTTATTGTTCTATCTGTATTGGTGCTAGGATCCTCACGACGCATGTTACACAGGGGTGCTTAATCCGCTTATAAGAAGAATCTATGCCATTCAGCGATTCTTCGATGTATGATATTGCAGCGCACGACGAGCCTACTGAACAAATCTAAAATCCGGGTTATTCGCCACCCCAGATGAAGTATAAGAGTCTCGGGCGTGAGGACCCAACAGACCCCGATTCAGTCAAAGGCACGTTTTCTCAGCCTTTCTTCAACTCAGTTATACAGTTCATAATAGATTTATAGTGAACCAAGTCTATAAAGGCAACTGGCGACCATGGCCTATTCGAGCACCGTTCTTAATATTCTTCACGATATTATGTTTAATTCTCACTCTAATAGCAGAGTTATTGCTTCAGAGATCGGAACGGGATAAAGGTCTTGTCTTTGGAGATTTTTCTGATCCAGAAAGCGGAATATCCAGAGGCACAGATTTCTTTTGCAATTATTTACCTACGATAATATCTGTTTTGTTTGGCCTTCTCTGGGCCACATCGGAGCATGACTTCAAACGACTGGAAGTGTTCTTCCAGATGTCCAAGGCCGGGGGTGCTACAGCGAAAGATTCACTCCTACTTGAATATCCATATAGCTCCCCGACTTCCCTTCCATGGGAGTCATTTAAACGAAGGTACGCATTACAAAATTAGTTATATTTTTCAACACTAACCCTCAATTAGACACTGGGCTGTCTGCTTATCTTCTACGATGGCGCTGTTTTCCGTTGTCTTTCTGATCCCGATAATGCCCGGTATGATAGAAGAGAGAGATGTCTTCAAAGCATTGGACACAGAAATTCCGAGCCAAACCCAACCTAGGAACACGTCAGCAGGGCTCTCTACCGAATCTTCATACCAGGCATATCAATATGCTTGGTTGGGCGGCTCACTTCCAGCCTTTACAACTCCCGAGTATGCATTAATGCCGTTCGATGTCAGCACGATCAAGAATCTTAGGGAGGATGAGACCTGGACAGGGGAATCAACCCTTTATGAGGCGGACCTGAAGTGCCAGAAGGCAGATATAACCAAGAGAGGATGGGGATACGTGATTAGTAATGGAAATGACTGTGAATACCACCTTGTCGACATTTCCAAAACTTATTACACCTCGGAACCCATTCCATCGGGGGATACTGACTTGATGGACGAACTGGAACATCTCGTGGACTTCAGTTTCTATGCCCCCTGGAATAGCTTATTTATGGGCCACGAATCCATGACAGTAGGGGTGAGTAGGCGGATCTTACAAGATATCTACACGCTCAACTCCCCAATGTCAAAGTGCTCGAAAGATCCTCGGTTCCTTGGCATATGGGGCAACCAATATAACCTGACGGCAGAGGACGGCGACAGGCTCGCAGCAAAATGGACAGCTGTATACTGTGAGCCAAGCTACTGGACACAGTCCGCCATGGCTACTGTTCAGATCAAGGGACAGGATGGCATTGTCCAAAAGGTTGACCGTGTGGGGGAAAGGAAACCATTGTCCGGCTTTAACGCTCCCGCCTTTAAAAAGCTCGCAGCCACTGGTCAGAAATCTGCATTGCCGGAAGATCTAGATAGCAACGGATATTCTGTGAATTTAGGCACCGCACCGCTCGAGTATCCAAATGCAAGGTACCAGCTTCTGCAGCGCTATGGGGCTGCCGATCCGGCCTTTTCTAACAGGGCTGAGAGTGTACCAACGGTTCAACTACTTAACGAATTTGGTCTCGGTGGGTTTGCCCTCCGGAACTATCCCAACGATACACTCTCGAGTTTGCTAGATCCCATCGAACTTGCAAAATCTTATAGTGATGCGTACAAGCTTCTCTTTTCGTTTTCGTTAGCCTCCGATCTGAGAAACCTCCCGGTGTCAAATACCTCAATCACAAAGATCACACGAGAATTCGAAACAGAAATCTATGCTGTGAGCGTTGTGTGGTGCCGGCTTACACAAGCTGGATTCATCGTACTGGCCCTCCTAACGCTCTGTCTTTTGTATGTAACGTGGGGAAGACAAACCAATCTTGATGGAGAACCAAACTCTTTGTTGGAATCAATGCTTGCAATTCGAACGCTATCCCAAGATGTTACGATGCACAATTCCGAGTTTTGTGATCCCCGTATTCTATCGGATTCTTTGATCCGCGCTGGCCACAAATACCAGCTACGATTGGTCAAGGGCGAAGGCCCTATAATTGAGAAGGTCACAAGCGGGGGTGCGGATCAGAAAACATGGTTGACTCCTGAGTATATCGACAACAGTGAGCTTACTCCCTTCAAGCCTAAGATTAGCTGGGAACTCAGCAGGATCGCGGGAGTCTTGTATTTTTCTTTTTTTGGTTTCTTACTGGTATTTTTGATATTCATCTATACATATAGCATTAAGAATAATGGTAAGCTATCTACGTCTGGTACAAGATTATGACATTTTCAGCTTAATTAGTGCTAACGTTCCATTCCTCGACCGCAGGACTTCCTACCGTGGCACCTACCAACTCTTTTGGCTATAAGATACTGTGGTCGCATATACCCACAGCACTTGGTATGGCAATAGAGCCACTGCTGGTATTATTGGGGGCTTATGCCTGTATGGTTGGTCCTTATGAGACCCTAAAAAAAGGCCTCGGACAGGCAAGGAGCTCCCGCTCACTTGTTCTCGACTATGATAAATCTCCTCCTCATTTTCAGTTATGGCAATCTCTCAGAGTTCGAAATTTTTGTCCTTTCTGCCCTTACAATCGCCATTCTTGCAGCAAACTTCCTCGCTGTTGCCCTGGGAGGACTATTTTCCTCATCATCCGAACTTTTCATGGTTACCGATGATTTGGATCGCTTTATTACTCCCAAGATTGTACAAACGATTTCAGACTATACCAGCAATTTTGAAAGTACGCCAATGCCGGAGATGTACTATGTTTTGAGCGGAAATCTCTCTTTAAACAGCACCCTTCCCCAGTGGGCCACGCCGGAAATGTTTATTCTACCCTTCAACAGCACAAAGCCTTCGGAACAGGTTGTGGAGCAACGCGGCACAACCTGGGGATTCGGAGCAAACATCTCTTGCGAGTTGATACCCGACGAGCTTTTAATCCGCAACACAACAATCTATGGGACTTCCGGTTATACTGTGAACACCTTTAATGTCAGCCATAGCCGCTGGGGAGAGGATATATTTCTTTTGGGCGGAGAGACACCAATATATAATACAAGTCTATTCTACTGGAACCAAGATGGAACGCCTGGCAGCGACTTTTTCCTCAAGTCTCCAACATGCCCTAGGACTTTTTTTGCCAGGTAAGGCGAAATTCCAGGCGACCCGAACCCAAGTAACTTTTCACATCCTTATGCACCGAATAATCAAACCGAATACGTGGTCATGTCATGTTCCTCGAATTTGGAGGTTTCGGAGGTCTCGGCAGTAGTTGACGGGAAAGGTATCGTCCTTTCCTACGATATCCTCAAATGGCTGCCCCAATCTGAAGGCAAAGCGTTCTTTGGATGGGATAACACCACGGATCCTACTGTCGACTTTGACACAAGTTTTCAGAGCGCTATAGCCGCCTTTTTAACCAGAGATGGGGAGTGGAAAGTTTCGGGCAGTATATTAAGAGTAGGCAGTGACAATACCTTCCTGAGTCCTTACACATTGAGATGGATAAACTATCTTATGGTTGAAAAAACCCCACTTGTTCGTCGCCACCTCACAAATGTCACACATATACCCGATAAAGAACATGTCGTGCAAGCATTCACGGATGTTTACAAAGCCCTCTATTCAATCAACCTCCAGCTATACTCCCATAAATACATTGATTTTGGCACCACAGAAAAGACTATCGGAATATCGTTTGTCAGCAAAGAGCGTGTCACACTTTCACGTTCCATGTTTGGAATGGCAACAGGAATCCTGACATACCTCCTGATTGTCATTATATATGTATACTGGTCTCGTCCAGGTGCTAATCTGAGCCATATGCCTACAACATTGGCAGCGACTCACACGTTATTATACGCAAGCAATGCACTGGAAGATTATGCCCGTCTTTACGGAGAAAGCACAAAGGACCGAGCACTTAAACTTTTGGGGCTAGGCTATACATCCAGCTACAGATTCTTTATCGGGTGGGATCGTAAGCAGCATTACAGTGTTCACAAGGAATCCTCCACCGAGACCTCGAGATCTAGAGCTTACGAGGACGTGAGGCCTGGGGAGAGTCAGTTCCTGATGAAGGTGGAAGTTACTGAATATATTGTACCTTCTTCGTAGAACGGAGGTAGTTCCATGTGCAGCCCGGGGAGGTTGTTTCTTCTATTTGTTTATTTCTTACTTCTTGTTAATATCTTTTGGCGAAATTAATGGTGGTCGGTGCAAGGGCAGGGTACTATTTCTCTGGGATCAGAATAGGGATACATACAGGTATATTTATATTTATCAACTGCGGGACTTGTCAAAACTAAAATGGTTATTTTCTATACAAAAAGTAAAGCGTTTTTATGCCATGTGTGTACAAGCCCTAGCCAATTGACTCAGAGAAATTTAAACCAATTCCCGGCTTGTGTTTATCCTACAGTTCAACACGTGTATATATATATATATAAGCACAGTCATACTGAGTCGAATAGTCTCAGTCTAACCAAGAGCAGGCGTTCGGTAACTAATATAACGCGCTTATACACGAGTTAAACCAGTGCGGGCGTTCGTCCATTCCTCGCACGCTCATACTCTGGCTGTTACTTGCCTACAAGTCCCATCGCTGAGAATAATTAGCCTATCCTCTAGATGGAGCTTACATAGAAGGAATGTAGGAGGGGTCTAGGCTTAAAACCTGGCCAAAGGTCCAGAACTCCCTCGCTGCCCGGGCCAAGCGGAGTACACCCTTGGATACAGCAAAACCATATCCAATTTTATAAATACATACATGTATAGTGGATGGGGGGGGGGGGGGGATTTGAAAAATAACTTACTCCGGATTCCGATTTTAAGAGCCCTCTTCGCCCGTTCTCTATGGTCTTATCGCGGTTTTATCGGGATGCAGCGGGGATGGCTGAGCATGATGAATAGAGAATAGAGAATAGAGAATAGAGAGGTGAAGGGAGGGAGGGAGGAGTGAGTATAGTCGCTAGCAAGGAGTTTGAGCGAGGGAGTGAGCGGTGATCATGAGTGAGTAGTAGAGTGAGTGAGAAGTGCTAGCGTTGTCCAAGCGATACCGTCACGTAGAGTAGACTATATAATGAGTTACGTAATGCAAAGAACTATTCAGTCCCCACCAGCGGTGTTTCTACTTTACCTAGTACAGATAGTACTTACTCTACTCTACGAGAGATCATTCTCCTCTCCAATTCGATATTCGGGCCAACTGAAAGCCAGCCTACTTATGGGGCCTGGCGCATTCCTTTACTGTTCTCTCGGATAAGTACCGTACCCACCCCTGTCTCGCACCGTATTCTCTGATGAGCTCAATGAACGCTCTAGACTAACTTCTTGTTTTTTCCCGGGGTGACTCTACTCTAGAGTATTCGCCCCTCTCAATCTCTTATTCGAACCAAGATATGTTACCTTCATTATCGCAACCAGGATTATGTTGATGGGTACCAGCAGTACTACATGTAGTACTACATGTATGTATTTACCTCGCCGGGATGGGTAAGTAAGACCTTTAATCTATCTGCAGGGACCTGAGCTTGCTTACCAACGCAAGGTGCGAGCAGTTTTGAGGTGGTTTTATATACCGTGCACCACGCGGTTGATACTCTTCTTGCCAAGGTTTGGGGATGGCCGCTACAGCTACAGTGATAAAAGCCTCAACCCAAGGACCAAGAGCTGTGCCGTTAGAAAGAGTGAGGAGAGAGATACATCAACCTCTATCATGGTGGTGGTGGTTAAGTAGTTAATGACAAACAATTCACCACCAGAAGCACTGACACCTGCATTAACGAACCCAAGCCCCCCCGGCCCGCCGTGAGTTACGGCCCGGCTGCCTGTCAGTCAGTCAGTCAGCACATCGAGCGAAGAGCTAGAGGCGAAGAAACCACCCTCTCACAGACCCCAACAACACAGATATACATCTCTTCAGATAGATGCGGCTACCATGATTATTAGCTAGCGCTGCTATCTCCCTGTGACTGCATTTGTCGCTGCATATATACTTCTTCGCTGCATATATATCCGGCTCTTTGCAGGTTATTACTGCTATTCAACTCGTGTTGGAGATGTACGAATTGAGTGTCATGATCAGCTGGGTGTTCCGCCGAGGCGGGAAAGGCATGGATGTCCTAAAAGTGTTGTCGCCTTAGCTCGGCGTGATAGTTGTGGCGAACTGCAGTTGAGTCTGGGGGCCACAGAGAATATAAGCTGTTCATGGATTCATAATATATCTGTTAAGCCTTGCAGCAGACATATATAAAGCGAAGGACCAGGATCTTTTCAAAAATGATTACATCCTAGCTATACATCCTGGCTACAAATATACACCGTTCCACACCAGCAAACTATAAAGGACCTCTCTCTGCCGTATTAAATGTATGTATTTCCCATTGTTATCCCTCTCGGGTTATAGGACCTAACCACAGAATCCACCATGCGTTTCCCTAGACTCACAGCAATGGCCGCTCTTCTAGTTTCCAGCACTGCTGCATGTGCAGCAGAGGTTCCACGTAAGCTCCTGAATACCCACATCTTGATCATTACGAGTCCAACTAACCTCCTTACCACAGCCCTCCCAGTAAACTTCGGAGTCCTCGTCTTCCCCGCCTTCCAGGTAACCCCCACCTCCACCCAGTACCCAGTTCTCAATTCTTCTCAGCTAACCCCTCCAGGCACTCGACGTTTTCGGCCCCCTCGACACCCTCAACATGCTCTCCACCCTATTTAAGACCAACCTCTACATCATCGCCGAGACCCTCGACCCAGTATCCACCAAGACCCGCTCCGCCTCCATGAACACCACCGGCTCCAACTTCGGCGAGAGCATTGTCCCCACGCACACCTTCGCCAACCCACCCGCGCTCGACGTCCTCATTATCCCCGGCGGCGCCGGCACCCGCGCCGGAACACTCCTCGACCCTGCCCGCGAATACATCAAGGCTACCTTCCCCACGCTGCAGTATCTCCTCACCGTCTGCACTGGCTCTGCCCTTGCCGCGTCAACTGGAATTCTCGACGGAAAAAATGCAACGAGTAATAAGGCTGCATGGGTATGGGCGACGGGGCAGGGGCCGAACGTGAACTGGGTGCCGAGGGCAAGGTGGACCGTGGATGGTAATGTGTGGACGACGTCGGGGGTCGCAGCGGGTATGGACGGGACGTTTGCGTTTGTGAAAGCGGTGTATGGTGAGGAGGCGTTTGTGTGGATTCGGAATAAGGTGGAGTATATGCCGCAGGAGGATTCGCATGTGGATGCCTGGGGGGAGTTCTATAATACTACTTGGCCCATTGTGTCGTAGGTGGGAGCCGGTTAGTTTTGGATGGGTATTATATTATTTCAGTCAATAATTGAAGAGTTTTTTGGAGAATGCCCATCGAAGTGAGATGCATTCTGTTGTTGAATAAGAACAGAGTATTTTTTTTTGTCCCCAAAGATCAACAAACTATAGCGAAAGAAACAAGCTATCCCATGAACCGTAGCAACGGAGTTGAGGACCCAATCGGGTGATGATATCAACGGCCCTATTCTCCCTCGCACTTTGTCAACCAGCACCACAAGAAAGTTATGTCATTATACTGTATGTATGATGGAGTAGGTAGCAATGATAATAATAATAATAAGAATTCGAAATTAGAGGGGTTCTTGAGTGTATAAATTGAACAGTTGGGAAGGGTGATTTTCCATACAAAATAATTGAACAGCAGCGATATCATTCAATTTGCCCACCATGGCCTCTAGAGCTCTACGCCCCCGTAATCTTAATCTTTCCTACTCGCTAGAGACATCTGAAAAAGACCCAGAAGTACCCGCCTCCAAAGGGAAAAGATATAAGCCTACAAAGATACTCAAAATCCCGGTCACCAGATCTCACTCACCACCCCCATTGGAGAATACACTCCCTAAATCAACCCCCTTCTCACCTATTAGACACTCAAAACCTCCTAGAGTGGCACAGAATCTTCTGCCACGCCGGTTGCAACAGTCAAAAGTTATTGAGCCCAGTACAATTGTCAATCTTTTCCTCACCGATACTTTGATGTCAGAAATTGCATTCAATACCAATTGCTATGCTACAACGAAGGATGCTGGACTAGAGGGACGTGGGTGGAGGCCAGTGTTTTTAGAAGAAATGAAGACATGGTTCGGAATCATTATTTACATGGGAGTTTGCCGTATGCCAGCCGTGGAAGACTACTGGAAAAATAATGGTCTTTATCCGTTGCATCATATTAGAGATTACATGTCTCTTACACGCTTCGAACAAATCCGGAGATATTTCCACGTTGCACATCCCGAGGCACCAAAGGAAACTACGTCAGGACGACGTCTTTGGCACTCAAAAGTTGACCCCCTCTTGAATCAATTACGGGCTGCATCACGGAAGTACCGACGCCCACCAACAAAGGTGTCAATTGACGAAGCTATGATACAATGCACCGGTCATTCTAAAGACACGTACAAAATGCCTAGTAAACCGATTGATCAAGGTTATAAGTTCCATTGCTATGCAGCTGCCGGTTATGTTTATGATTTTTTCCCGACAGCGAACCATTCTGGCCCTGACCCAATACCGTCCTCTGGGTTTCCCGAGGTGGATGAGATGAGCGCTACTAGCCGATTAGTTTTTCACCTCATGCAACGCAATTGTGAGGAGTATGGCCTGTATCAATCTTTTGATGTTTTTATGGATAATTTCTATACAAATTTACCTCTCTTTTCCGCACTCAGAATACGCCTTGGAGTTGGAGCATGTGGAACGGCCCGCTCCAACTCTAAATACTTCCCTACCGAACTATCAATACCTAAAAATTCGAAACTACCATATCACTGGAAGACATCACTTGTTGTCAATGGCGTTGCTATCATGCTTTGGATGGATTCAGCGCCTGTACTAGTCATGACTACTATGCATCCTACTACTGGCCGCTCCTCTGAAATATTCACAGATCGAAAAAAACCCGGTCCGAAAAGCACCAATGCGGCAGGTGTAAAAACCTCGAATTTCTGGCCAGCAGAGGGGCAGTGGAAAGCAAATCTTCCAATTCCATTATGCATATATGATTATAATTTCAATATGAATGGTGTTGATATTGCAGACCAACTCCGGTCCTATTATGCTACACATATGATATCAAGAAGAACTTGGTATCCAATTTTCTTCTGGATATTGGATACAATACTTATTAATTCCTATATCATATACGGAGATCATGCAAGTGCGGAAAAGGACTTATCTCATAAGGAATTTAGGATGCGGGTTGGTTGGGATTTGATATTGAAAGACGCTGTACAGAAGAGAAAGGAACCGCCAACAACCCAAAAGCAAAACCAGAAAAAGACTCGGCGCATAAGCGAACACTCTACTGATGCACCCCGTCCCTTTCAGCATGGTGAACACCTTCCTGTTCATGTTGATGAGCGGAGAGACTGCGTTCAGTGCAGGTGGTCCAGTAGACTAGAAAAGGACTCAAAGAAAAGGGTTGTTGGTAGAACTAGATATAAATGCTTAACATGTGATTAGCCTCTTTGTCTTAGTAGTGATCGCAATTGTTTTATTACCTTTCATTCCTCTGTAACTATGTAATTCGTTGAATAAAACTCTATATAATTCGAACCCGTGGTTGTTATACGCGCGCGGGCACCCGTTGTAAAGGACCCGATTGGGACTTCAACGAGCTACGGTTTATGGGATACAGAAAAAGAAAAAATGAGAAAAAACAACAAAAAAACCCTAACCCATCAACGAAAGCCCCAACCGTAGCTTCCTAGTCCCCACCCTTAAAAATAGAAACAAGGAAACTGGTAGAAGAACTCCCAATGCAAAAAGAATTGAACTAGACGATAGAACTCGATGAGTTGGAAGCAGCATTGTTGAGTTTGAAAGAGGTCAAGTTGAGTTTGAAAGATGACGTTAGGGGAAAACTTGCAAGCAGCTAGCAGGATACTTCTAAGATGAGAATAACTTGTATAATCTTGCCCGCTATCTGATTAAGCCAGTAAGTCCCTTTTGACCTTTAACTCATGGCTATCAAATCACTTGATCTCTGAGTTTTCACTTGTTCGTTGCGGCGAGAGAGATGTGAAGTTTGTAGTGTGGGAGAAAATGACTTGAGTGTGGTTTGAACACGTGACCTTGAGGGAGGATGTGTTTGTAGTGCGAAGAAGATACTATTGCGCCGCTAAAGTTCCAGCGACTATGTGGGCGTTTGAGCGCTCTATATATACAGATATTCTAATACCACGTGATCCCCTAATTACATAATCCTTGACACTAAGCCTTATCTGAATCCCTGTTCCTTCTATGAGTCATCCCTTATACATGAGTAATTCCATACATAACCGATGTCGCAATGCCCTATTTCTACACTTCCCCTCACTTGCCACATCGTATCAATTCTGACAATTTTTGGTGAGCTGGTTTCGGTAGTCCTTTGGTCATTATGTCTGCAACATTGTCTTCGGTTGGGACATAGAGGAGTTTTAAGGTTTCGGCTTCGAGTTGTTCACGTGTGTAGTGATAGTGAACGTCGATGTGTTTGGACCGGTCGTGGATACGTGGGTTCCGACAGAGTTCGATAGACCCTGTGTTGTCGGCGTGGATGTTGTATTGGTATTGTTGTTGGAGTTCGCATAAGGCGTTGCGAATCCATACCAGTTGTCGAGCTGTTAGGGACAGAGCCATATATTCGGCTTCTGTTGTTGAGACGGCGACTGATTTCTGCTTCCGGCTTCTCCAGCTTATGGCTGATTTTCCTAGTCTGAACACGTATCCTGAGAACGATTTTCTGTCATCTAGGTCTGAAGCGTAGGAACTGTCTGAGAAACCATCGAGTGTTCTAGTGTTTCCTTTCGGGTAGAACAGGTTCCAGTCCTTGGTTCCGTTGAGGTATCGGAGAGTTCGTTTGGCTGCTCGTAGGTGGTCCTCAGTTGGGCATGAGGAGTACTGAGAGAGAGCGGTAACGGTATGGGTGATATCAGGTCTTGTTGCTATGCTGGCGTACATGAGTGATCCAATTATGGATTGATACTCAGTTGTTTTCTCGATTTGATCTTCTGGTTCTCCTTTACGAAGACTCAGATTTGGTTCGAGTGGTGTGCCAACTGGTTTGCAGTTATTCATTCCAAATTTGTCTAGGATTTTGTTGATGTATGCTAGTTGTGACAACGTGATACCGTTCTTTGTTACCATTATTTCTATTCCGAGTAGGAATTTCGCATTACCGAGATCCGTACATTCGAAATCTGCCTTAAGTAGTTGTCTGATTTCGTTTCTGAATGGGGAGTCGGGTCCGAATATCATGATGTCGTCAACATACACCGATATGTATAGTTGGTGTTTCTTATGTATGAAGACACATGGGTCGAATTTGGCTGGGACAAATCCTTTCCGTTGAAGGGAGTCTGCTAGGCAAGCATACCATTCACGGGGTGATTGTTTTAGTCCATATATGCATTTGCGAAGTTTACAAACCTTATAGGCCTGCCTGTAGCCTTCAGGTAGTTCCATGTAGATTTCCTCTTTTAGTATACCGTATAGGAAGGCTGACTTGACGTCCATTTGTTGTGGTGTCCAACCGTTGTGTGCAGCTAGTGCAAGTAGGAGTCGTAGGGAATCGTATCGGGCAACGGGGGTGAAGGTCTCATCATAATTTTGATACTGTACTTGTTTGACGCCTTTGGCGACATATCTTGCTTTGTATCTTTCGATTGTTCCGTCCGTGTTGTGTTTTACCTTGAATACCCATTTTCCTTTGACTACTGCTCGGTTGGTTGGTCTGTCGACAATGTCCCAGGTGTGGGCCTTGTCAAGGGCGTCTTTTTCAGTCTGTATTGCCTTTTTCCATAGGTGTTGATCATCGCTTTTTATCGCTTGATTGAAGGTGGTAGGTTCAGTTACTAGGTGTACCCGATGTATGGTGGAATCAAGGTTGTCGTACTGGCTTTGGAGCTTTGCTTTGTCCTTTTTGTGGTCTAGGCTGGCTGCTTCCATTGCTAGTTGCTTGGTTTGTTCGTCCATATCTTCATCGGCTAGTATTTCTGATACCTCCTTGTCATAGGTGGTTCCTAATTCCGATATTTTCTGTCGGATTTCCTTCCTTTTCCCTTCGATATCAAGTGATGCTTGTTTCTCCGTTCTTTCACGGATGCGATTCGATCTTCTTATTGTAACAGGATGAGGGACTTCAGATTCTTTCTCCTTTTCGGTTGTTGGTTTCCAAGGTTTCGATTTCCTTGGTGGTTCCGGGAGGGTGTTTCTGTGTTTTCCTGATTAGCTTCCTGTTTATTACTTTGTTCGAG